TGTAAAAAAAAAAAAAAAAAAATCACTTGGTTTGCTCCTAAAATCCTAAAAAATGTGCAACTTCCGCTCCATACCCGCAGAATCTTAGTAGTTCAACAAATAATGTTCCAGGAATTCGTTAAATAAATTTACCCAAACGCAGGCAACAAGCTGGAGTAGCTCAGTTGGTTAGAGCGTGTGGCTGTTAACCACAAGGTCGAAGGTTCAAGCCCTTCCTCTAGCGTTTTTTACCCTCCTTTTTCCCTCTAATTTCTTTTCTTTTTTTAATGCAAAACAGAGAGTGTTTTTGACCAGTTTTCGCCCTTTCCCTTTAAACTTTTAAATTCAAAAGAAACAGAAATATTTTTTACACGGACTGCACAAACTATCCAAGTTCATATGAGTCACTCATTTTCTTTTCTGATCATAAACCAAATAAGAGCCACACAATCCATATCCAATTTTTCAGAGGCACAAAACATATACAGACTGTTATGTATCTGAAAAACTTATCTCTGTTTTTCTTCTTCACAACGCACGGTCCATCGAATCATTATCTTGTTTTGATCGTAGTATATTAAATTAATTGATTGATGTTGTTATACCATAAATACTCGAACCGCTGGACCGCTCCTCTCGAACCGGGTTGCGTCTCCTTGATCGTCGGTACCTGCAAAGCACGCCGGGGGTGGTCCCGGCGCGAACACTCCGACGCTCAAGTCAGTGATGGTCTAGAGAGAAAACGGCAGAGTAACGAGATAGTTCGTGAATGTGTGTTGTGTAAAATGAAAGAACCTGCTCCCTTTTATAGGAGAAATATGGAGAGTCCCAGTGGGATAAGAAGTCTTCTTCATATCAAACTCTCCATTAGGTTAAAAGGTCTTCTGAATCCCGAGAGTCCTAGTTGCTACCAACTCCTCCGTAACTTGATCCCGAAGCCATCTTCAGGCTCTAGCCCCTTCGACGGCATGCGAGGGCCGCCGAACACACGAGGGCCGCGGGGCACCTCCCTTGGCCGAGCACTCTCCCACGCCGGGCACTCGCCCACGCCGAACATTCACCTACGCCGGGCACTCATCATACCGGACGATGCCGCGTCAGACACTCCATCCCGATCACCTCCAATGCCGAGCACTCGAGGGGCGCCGAACACCGTGCGACGCCGAGCACTCCCAGCCGCCGACTATCATAATGATTAACCGGTCCCCTTCATATGAACAATGATGACCGGATCACAACCGGTTCCTCACGAGCCACTATTAACGACCATATCAGATGTTGTTAAGAGTTTATTTCTTATTTATATTCATACTTCATGTGTCATTTTTCCAATGTTGGTGTGGTAACTTGGTATTTTGAGTATCCTTTGTTATTCACAACCCAAATCAATAGAAAAGATAAATAAATGGGGGCCATATTGCAATTCTCATAAAGTTCAAGAACCTTTCCACCAGTAAAATAGATATAATAAACAAACCAAATTAGCAAACAAAGTAGGTAAATTGAAAGAAAAAAAAAAACAAAAGGAAGAAAAGAAAATAATCCCCCCTTCCTTTTATTACAAAAGAAAAAATGAGAGCACTACTAGTCCAGAGTGAAATTTTGCATTTTGCACCACAAACAAATTGGAAATTACAGAATCACACACCACCAACAACAACAACATCAACAGACATTCCCATTAAAACTCGCTGGCCAGCGGTTGGTGCTCGTGCTGCATGAAAACGTTGCTATAAATGAGCCCAGCCAGCCCACCACCAATGAGCGGCCCAATCCAGTAGATCCAGTGGCCCGAGAAGTCACCGCTGGCAACAGCTGGGCCGAAAGAGCGGGCTGGATTCATTGATCCACCTGAGAATGGGCCTGCAGCCAAGATGTTGGCGCCCACAATGAACCCAATGGCGATGGGCGCGATTATGCCTAATGAGCCCTTCTTGGGATCTGCTGCGGTGGCGTACACGGTGTAGACCAATGCGAATGTGATTATGATCTCCATCACAACTCCTTCGACGGCGCCGACGCCGGCACCAACGCCGTGGGTCGGAATTGCCTGAATAATTAAATATGTGAAATTAGAAAGAGACATTAGTTTGTTTACAAAAATAAATATTACAAAATTCATTAAATGGGCTTATGACTTACCAATCCTCCGGTAACGAATTTGAGCAAGAAACTTCCGACGACAGCGCCAAGAAGCTGGGCTATCCAGTAGAATATTCCGGTGAGGATGGTGATTTGGCCGCCCACCGCCAGCCCGAAAGTGACGGCCGGGTTGACGTGGCCGCCGGAGATGTTGGCCCCAACGGAAACCGCCACGAACAGAGCAAAAGCGTGGCAAACGGCTATGGCCACCAGCCCCGGCGGGTTAAGATCCCCGTCGGAGGTCAACTTGTCTGCCAAGATCAAAAATAATTGATTAGTCAAAATAATTGGAAAATTAATTTTATGGATGGAAGAATTGTTTTGCATGGCCATGATGAATTAAATTACTTAAAATACACATAGTAACAAAAATTATTCTCTTTATATGCTTATTTCCTTTTTATTTTCACAATTTTTTTCTTTGTGAGACGGTTTAATCTATATTTTATGAACAGAAAATACATATTTATATTGTTAAATAACATACTATCTTATACTTATTTGTCTATTTCTAATTAAAGTATGCATATTTTTTAAAAAATAAAAAAATAAATCAGCCTAATGATTAGATCGACCTAAAGAAGACTTATTGTTCATTTTTCTATTTTCTTTTCCTTCTTCTTTTTCTTTCTAAATCGATGTAATTTTGTAAATTAAAATATTGAATCAAAACATATACATCCACAACTACACACTCATATCATGCCAAACATCATACAAAATTACTATATATGATGAAATAAAAATGCAAAAAAAAAATTAAAATAAAAAAAATTAGATTAGTGTAAAGTTAATTTATTTAATAAGAGTGGCGTGATTATTAACTGAAGGCAATGGCGGAGCCAACGCCGGCGAAGACAAAAAGCAACGTGGAGATGAACTCGGCAATGTAAGCCTTCACCGAAGCAAGGCTGAATGAGTCATCGACCCTTCCGAAAGCAATTCCGGGCATTTTCGATCCGACGGTCGAAGATTAATCTAATATCTCTTGATGAGGAAAAAAAAAAGGAGAACGTGGAAAAATAAAGATAGATATAAGAAGTTAGGACAAGGCCGAGATAATAAGCTTGTAAGTGTGTTTTGTTGAGGTGCAAAAGAGCAACTTTCAATGTCACATATATATACTACGAAATCCACAGGTTTTAATAATATTATTGTTGGTGATGTGGATTTAATTGAACTTTAGTTCTGAATTAATTTTATAATTTTCAGGTTTGAGATCATACAATAAGATAGAGAGGAATTATTTGTGTGGACCTTGTCCTACGTGGAAAATTCTATCCTCTATGTAAGTATAGCCTGGCTTTTACTTTATTTTATTTGAGTAGTGATGAATAATGATGATGACTCATCAAACAGAAAACCTTGTTATAATGAATAATGAATTCTATTGATCCAATTTTATTTTTATTAATTATTATCATTTTCTTCAAAATTTAAAGCGAGCTAGAGACATTATGGATGGATATATAATTCCTTCAATTTAAAATGTTGTTTCTAGCTAGATATCTCCAATTTATGAGGTATATTATTAATTAATGGTTATTATTTCATAAAACAACATTGTAAAGGGGTTATTTTTTCACAGTGGAGCCAACCTTCTATATACAACAAATAAATATGTCATATTAATAAAATTATATTAATATTATTTAAGTAATAAGAGAATATAATATGCTTACTTGTTGTATATAGAAAGTTGGCTTCATAGCAAAAATGTAATTTTTCATGCTTATGCTTAACTTAAATTAATCCCTCTCTACAATAAACATATATGTAAATATTTCTACAAACTTTGACCAATCATGGAGGTAAAATTCTTATGGAGACTATAATTTTTTTTTTTTTTTTT